TTCTGGTACAGGAACAGAATGACACGTTTTGTGCGGGCTTCGGGGACAGCTTAGTGGAAGATGTATCTGTCACCTCTGTGAGAAAGACTTGAGCAGTATTCTTTTACCTTGATGTCCCTTATCCCCCGCCTTCATTCACATAGTCCAATCAAGGTCCTAAAATTTCAGTAGCCGGCCACCTTGCCTCAGCTGGACAAGGAGTGGCCCAGCTCTGCCTACAAACCTTACCTGGAGCATAACGTCATGATTTACAAGAAAAAGAATGAGGGGCTGGAGAGGCAGCTCCACCAGAAAAGGGCTTGCCTTGCACTAACCTCAGAACCCATGTGAAAACTCTGGGGGTGATGGCAGGTGTTTGTACCCCAGCCCTGAGGAAATGGGGACAGGCTGACCCTGAGCCCCCTTGGCAAGCCCCAGGCCAGTGCATAATCTCTGAGAAACAGCCAAGGTTGTTCTCTGGCCTACATGTACATGTGTGTATACACAAGTGAGCGCATGTGTGCACATACACAAACGCCATGAAATCAGGCTCCTGTCCTCCTCTGATCCCCTTTAGCTTTGTCAAGGTGGGCTCCAGGAGAAGACAGGAGGAGGGGGGGGGTAGCTAAGCGGGAGCAGTCTTGCCTGGGGCTCTTTGAAGGAGCAGGGAGTGACACGTGTTGGTCCAGTGCCTGACCCTCCCCACACACCACCCAAAGTCGCCAGCCTCCCTGGTGTCTAACACACACCTACTGTTCAGTGCACCAAACATTTTTTTAGAATAAATAAATGCATCTAAGTCTTTTGGGGCTGGCAGCCCTGGGTGATTTGGCAAAGCAAACACCATAACTGGTTTCTTACATAACCCCACAGTTGGCAGCGAAGCGCCGGGCTTTGAAATGTAGCAACACTGGCTCATCTGAGGAGCCTTGGCCTTTTTTTGGGGGGGGGTGGAGGGATAAGCGTCCCGTTTGTTCCGGTTGCATACATTCTTTGTAATTGCTGGCTGACTTTAGAAGAGCTTTGAGGAAAGCTTTCAGTGTGGAGGGAACGGCTTAACGTGTGGACACGTGGAAGCTGAGTCTGCAAATCAGCTAGAGAAGGCAGCGGTCTTTGAATGCGTTAACGAGGTTGGGGCCAGTGGGGCGGACTGGCTGCCAGGGCTGTAGGTGGAAGCAGGAGCTGGGGCCCTCTGGCTGCACAGCGGGCGCCGGGGCTGGCGAGACGAGCTTGGTGGTTGTAACTGCACACTCTTTGCGTCTCTCTCTTCCTTTTTGATAAAAAGAAAAGGTGTGTATCCTTGAACAGGACACACACACACACACACACACACACACACACACACACACACACACACACACACACACACACCGTCCGCTAAGTTTCAGAGCCCGGTTCTCTGTGGGACTTTTGTTTCTGTGGCTTTGGTCATCGACTTGAGGGCACGTGTTCTACCGTCATAGCTCTTGTAGCACATCCTTTGAATCCTTTGAGCCTTGGGAAGCGTGTATACATTGCCCATCCCCTGGCCCTCCAACCCAGGCAGGAAGTTTTTCATAGTACCATCTTGGGTGCCCTTCCCACCATCCCACTGGGAACCAATAAAGTACAATTGGGGAGGGGGGTTAAAAAATACTGCATTTCAAAACAAGCCCAACTTTTTTCTTTAAAAAAAAAAAACAGAACTCACTGACCAAGACAGATTTCAAAATGTTTCTCTGATGCCCGGCAAGAAACATTCATTGAGGCTTTTCAGGGCGACCAACTCCCCAGGACGTGGTTTCCAGGTCTCCGCAAGCCTAAGGGCTCCCTGGAGGCTAATTGCTGTTTACAGCCTCAGACCTTTGTCCCTTCCGTAACATTTTCCATCTTAAGCAGGGCCCGCCCAGTTCAGCCCCAGAAGCGTGTTGTCTGGGCTGCCGAATGGAATTACTACCAGTGGGAACTATGCCGCTCGAGGGGGGTGAGGTTTGGGAGCTCAGCAAACCTCGGCTCCGCAGCCTTTTCCACCCTCGGAGCAGCGGCAATTAGCATAGGGAAAATGACTAAGGTGTTGACGTCACCTCTTTCCAGTAGAAACTTACACTTTGTCCCTGTCTGCCTGCGAGCTTGCCGGACTTGACTCAGGAATTTGCTGTCCAAACAGGATGCTCTGGAAGCCGAGCCCTCCCCACCCCCAGGGGGCTGGCCCTCCCAGCAGCTTTATAAACCCTGCTGGAGCAAGGACCCTTGGTCTTTCTCTTGCAAAGGAACCTCCAGCTTGGGCTCGACTGCGAGAGAGTGTGAGTCCTGAGTCATTAGCTTCTGCCCCGTAAGAAAGCAGAATGCATTTTAGGGACTTTAACTACAATTTTAGCTCCCTGATTGCCTGTGTGGCAAACGGTGATGTCTTCAGCGAAAGTGAAACCAGGGTAAGGCTTCTGGCGACCTGTGATTTCTGAGCATTTTCCAAGCACGCCGCTAATTGGGACAATTAGCCGAACTACTCAGGGGTGGGTGGCTCTCTCTGGGGTTTACCAAGTAACCCCCAGAGTATTTTAGAGTTTTGAAAATCAGAAGCTGTTGCCTGAAGAATTAACCGTGAGGGGAGCTGTGTAGCCCGGCTTTGGACGCTCCCGGGTTCCCTACGTGTGCGGGAGGTGCGGACTTAGTGTGTGGCCACATTTGGCTCCTCTGAACTCCAGAGGGTGGCTACTGCCAGCTCCTGCCTCTGGAGGTCCAAATAACCTGTGAATGGACCGCATGTTTGCAGGAATGGCAAGGGTCTGCCTCCAGCATCCAGATCTCTCCGACTGGAGAAAAATGCAGGCATACCAAATATTAAAACTCAGTGTGGGACAAGGTAGCAGCTCTCAGAGATAGTCATCTTTTTTTTTTTTTTTTTTTTTTTTTTTTGGTTTTATGAGACAGGGTTTCTCTGTATTGTTTTGGAGGCTGTTGGTCCAGCCCGGCCTCAAACTCACAGAGATCCGCCTGCCTCTACCTCCTGAGTACTGGGATTAAAGGCATGCGCCACCACCGCCTGGCTGGAGAGATAGTCATCTTAATCACTGTACTTTTCTTTATTTGGGAAAAGCATAAGAGGTCTCTTTTTTTATCAGTTACTATCAAGCCATTGAGTGATAGTAACTAATTGATCTTTAATCAATCAGAATCCTATATGAATGGATATTGAATATGTTGTTTGTGGGGATGGGGTTTGTGTGGTATGCTTTTTATTCAAGACATATTGGGACATGTAAAAGGGCTGCTCAGAGTCAGCTAATTGTTTATGGTGTTTGGAAGACTGGGACTGTAGCCTTTTAATGTGATTGTCAGACACGGTCTCTTCCTAGACGCACTGCAGACTTGATGCGCTGAATATTAGCCTGGTAGTTAGGAAGCACTTAAGTAGAGATCCTATACCACAGGCGTAACAGCTGGGTGTCTACTGTTAGAGCAGATAAGATCATTTCCTAAGTGTGTGGGGGTGTGGATTTAGCAGTAATGCATGCTCTCTGATGCTCTGGTTCTGAGCCCTGACTTGCACTCTAAAAATATTCACCAAGTCATCTCTCCCAAATTCTGAATCATAACTCAAAACTACAGTTAGTCACAGTGCCTCCTGATGAGGTCATGTGAAATCCCAGCTTTCCTGGCACCCTCAGCCAGAAAGAAACTTGCTCAGTGCCTGAGACGCTGGACAGGATCGCCCAGCTGGTGGCATCCAGGTTAAATGTCAGCTCCGCCTTGCTCACCCCTGCCAGAGCCCCTAGTGGAAAGTCATAGAAATGCTCCTGCGGGGCAGGGATATGTCCCCTCGCCACCTGCCTCGGAGAGAAGAGGTGCTGCACCCACCTGGACTACGCCAAGAGCCAGTAGGCTTTTAGTCCCAAAGACGGCCGACTCTACGCCGGGTAGACTTGCAAATGGGCAGTGTACCCTCCTCTGCCTCAGTCGTCCTCCTGAGTAGGAGTGAGAGCATGGCTCGGACCCAGGCCCTCTGCCAGCCACCTTCTCACCTGCCACCCCACCCTCAGAAGCCCCCACAAACTGTCCTGACTGTGTAGCCCGTAGAAAGGAACTCTGAGAGCTCCCAGAATCCTCCTGGTGTCCCCAGGAGGTGCAGCCCCCATCCCCACTGTTGCAGGAGAGGGTGGGGTTCCCCAGCCTTTCCCAGGAGGCTGATGAGGTTTTTCCAGAAGCCAAGAGCCAAGCTTGCAATCCCAGAATCCGGGCTCTCCAGACACTACCAGCTCATGATATTTCCTAATTCTTAACAGCCCTTACAGCAAGCACCAGAGGGAGGCCGTACATGAAAGCTTGGCCCGCCTGCAGACCCGCATTACATTTTAAACCAGTATTCTTTCAGAGAGTTAAAGAGTAACAGGCTGAGGTAAAACCACATGGGAGCCTCCTCTAAGGAGTGGCAAGACTTTCTTTAAGGTCTTTGTCCCTTTGTTCTCAGTTTCTAAGGAATCTTCAAATGTGCTGCATGACCTTGAGCCCTAAAGAAAAATATTTGAAAAATACAATATCCACTCTGGGTGGAGTTGGCTGGACAGTGGAAGGTCATGGGAACATCAGTCTTGTGGAGTAATGAGCGGCCGGACTCTTCTACCTCATTGGCAAATGCTTATCCCACTTTTAAAAGGAGTGACAATTGTCCTGCTGGTTAAATGAATTTAGTATATTGAACATTCTCTGCTAATAAGATCATCTGAATTAGTCTAACGGTGGCACGTGTGCTTAGCAGGGTGCAAGGCCTCCTAACCCCTAATCCCAGCACCAGACAAACAGCACAGTCAGTCCGTTGGAAGAAGCGGCCTCTCTCTCTCTCTCTCTCTCTCTCTCTCTCTCTCTCTCTCTCTCTCTCTCTCTCTCTCTCTCTCTCTCTCTCTCTCTCTCTCCTCTCCCTCCCCTTCTTCCCCCTCCCTCCCTCCTTCCCTTGAAATGACTGATAACCTGATAACTCATTTCTTCACCAAGGAAGGCAATGGCTAGGTGAATTTTAAAACCTTTTATCGGTATTGTTTTTTCAGGCCAAATTTGAATCCCTCTTCAGGACGTATGACAAGGACATCACCTTCCAGTATTTTAAGAGCTTCAAACGTGTCCGAATAAACTTCAGCAACCCCTTATCCGCAGCCGATGCCAGGCTGCAGCTGCATAAGACTGAGTTCCTGGGGAAAGAAATGAAGTTGTATTTTGCGCAGGTGAGTGTGCCTATTGTGAAGCAGCCCCCCCTCCCAAAAAGTCTACCGCCAGCCCCTCAAGTCCTGATGGTGTTAGACTCCAGATAGCGAGCTGGCTGTCTAGTGGGCCCTACCCTGGATTCTCAGGGTCTCACCTGGTCTAAGAAGGAACCAGGTGAATGTGAAAACCACCTCAGAGACAGGAACCCTGTGGCTTCCTAGGATAAATCATGAATGAGGGCAAGAAGCCTTCCTTGTTCACCCAGGGAGCTTGGGGGGTGGGCATCATTGCAAACTGCTGTGGTACGCTGGGATTTGGACATTGGGCCTCTCTGCAGGGTGTCTCAGGGATTAGGCTAATGACCCGGTCAATAGAGGTCACCAGCTGGCCCAGGTTCTCATGGCTTCCAGCAACACCCTGGCTTTGTGAAGAACCTATGTGCAAATCAGCACAGGGTTGTTAGTGGGGAGGGGGCGGGGAGGGGGCAGGGATGGGCTCGTGAGATGGTGATCAGATGGTTGATAACCCTCTCTTAGCTGGGGTGCAGAGAGGGGGATCTATGGATGGGTTTGCCCTTGGTCCGGCCAATCCCAGGTGCACCTTCAAGACGGTTCCCAACTTCCATTCCATATTGTAACAGGGACTGGTAGAGTGCCAAGAAAAGAGAAAGAAGGTTCTAGAATTTTACTCCCAAGGTGAAGTCAGTCCTTGCCAGGCCCCGAGCCTTCTCCACCTCTACCCCTGAGATGACTTTTAGCCTTTGAGCCTCACAGAAATTCGCTGTGGAGGCCTAAAGAAGCCAGATATCTCACTCAGGGTGGACACGGAGGGGTTGGAGCCCAGCCCCTCTTCTGGTTGGAGCTGTCTTTGCTTCCTGGTTGGCACCATGTAACGTGTAACATGCTTCTACAGCTCCTAGCCACTGTAAGCTTTGCCATGCCACCCCCATGGTGACTACACCAGGGACTCTGCCGTGCCCCACCCCACGATGATACACTGACAGACCAAACTGTCACTTCTCCCTTCGGCCGTTTCCATCCAGTGTTGCCGTAGCCCAACATAGGCACCAAAACCAGAGCTCGTCCGCCCTGCACCCCCTTCAGACATTCACAGTTCCCCTTCAGCGGGACCCGCCCCGTCCACTCCTGGCCTCTGGTCTGCCATCCGTGCTGGCCTCCCAAAGGCTTCCGTGAGCTGCTGCAAACCCCTGTTGCAGCTCCCTCTCAGCGTAGTGATGAACTGATCTCTCTCCTCAGACATTACACATAGGAAGTTCACACCTGGCTCCACCCAACCCAGACAAGCAGTTTCTCATCTCTCCTCCCGCCTCTCCACCGGTTGGTTGGAAGCAAGTAGAAGACGCTACCCCAGTCATAAATTACGACCTTTTGTATGCTATCTCCAAGCTGGGCCCAGGTAAGCAGCGCCCTCAGGTGGTCAAGGGGCTGGGAGGTGTGGTGGGCTTGTCCCGACACGAGACGCCTCAAGTGACCCCATGCGAATGTGTCTTACGAACGAACGCTTACTCCTCCACGTTGCTGCCACTGGCGCCCCGACCGTGGGCTCCCCTTAAGGGTTGCAGGAGAGATGGCAGCAGCCCATGGGTTTTCTGCACCACCATCCCCAAAGTGTCCCCTCACCCGCCAGGCAAACCTGTGTGACTCACTCCCAGGCCATAGGTCATATTGTTCTGATGGGCTGAGCAACCGGATTTTGTAAAGGGGAAACAGACCAACCTTCTTGGGAGCTCATCTGCAGCTGTTGTTACCACCTGACTTTGCTAATGGGTAGGAGGAAAACCACAGGTCACGGTGAGGTCAGAGCCCACAATGGGTCACGTCCAATGGAGCCGTGGGCCATAGGTAAACCATCGCCCTGAACACAGCACTTTGCTCGGTACCTGGCCCTCAGGCAGCTCCGCCCTCAGCAGGTGGCTCTCAGGAATAGTAAAATGTCGGGGCCCCTCTCCCATGTCAGAGGGCTTGTCCGAGGGGTGGGTGGGACCAGGAAGCAGAGATGTGAGCGTCACTCCTGCCCACCACGCAGCATGCTGAATAAACGCTGCCCGTCAGCCCCCTGCTGCTCCTTGACCAGCTATCTGATGTTCCTCTAGGGAAAGGGTTCTGTTTTCACCACCCATCAGCAGTTTCGTGCTGAAAGATTACATTTCTGAGAACACACTGAACGGAAATCCCTCCTGTGGTACAAACCAAGAATCGCGTTACTGGTGCTAATTGTGGCTTGAAGGTCAAGACTAGAAATGGCCTGTGTGAGCGAGTAGGTGGCTCATCATGGCAGTTCCTAGCAAGCATCGCGAGTGGAGCCGAGGGTTTGGCATCTGTGGGCGTTACACGTGGAAATGGGATCTCCATCTGTAGCAAGGAGCCAGACTGTTCCAGAGGCAGGAAGTGGAGCGAGCCTTCCATCCCTGAGAACCCAGACTGGGAATGACTGGACTGAAACATCTCTGCCCTGGATAGTGATGGGAACTGGAGTGTTGGAGTGCCCACCAGGGCCCCGCCCCAGAGTCAGATACACCTTCAGGCTGAGGAGAGGGGTCTCCCAAAGACACCCTTCTCAGAGCCGTCTGCCCTTCAGCTAGTTAGCAGCGGAGTTAACTCAGTTCGCTTTTGTATTCTATCTTTTTGTTCCAACCATGCTCTTCAGGATTGCAGAGGTTTCACAATACAGCCTTCCGTCCCAAGCCCTCTGCGCCTGGGCCAGTGGCGGATACTCTGTGGAAGAGCCTCCGTTCTCAACTTTCCCAGTGACCCTCAGCCCTGGGGGAGCTGAGGCCCTTCATGTCTGCAGGCAGTTAGAGCGACGTTTAGCCTCACTGTGGGGTAAAGGCCATGAACAAGAAATTCCTTGTTCATGAGCCGTGCCCCCCACATCTGAGAAGCACACTAGGAAGCTGGAGGCCCCCCAAGCCAGTTAGATCAGAAGTGGGGTTCCAACCTGGGACCTTGCGTCTACTAGTAAGCACCCCTTGTTCGCCCGACATCCCAGCACGCTCCACTTTTAAGCACATAGCTGCCGGGTGTTTTGAATGCATTCTCTCATGGAATTGGCCCCGTTGGTGCCTTGGTTGCCCTGTTTTGGAGAAGAGGCGAGGGGCACCAGGGAATGAAATCCAGGCCCACCATCCCCAGCTACAAGTGTGTCCACTCACTCCAGGCCACACAGCACCCACTCTTCCTGCTGCCCCCATCAGCAGCCAGCGCAGACCCCTCAAGGGATGTCCCTGACCCTTCCTTCCCAGCCACAGTTCTCAGTGACAGAAGGCTCACCCTAACCTTGCTACAGCAGAGTGGAGCCTGGGCAAGCTCAGGCTAGCCCAGGACAGCAATGAGGGAACATTCTCAGTTCCAGCTACTAGCTCATACATACCTTCATGCATGCATGCAGGCATACATACATACACACATAAATACATACATACATACATGTATACATACATGGTGCTGTGGCTGAGGATGTCACTCCGGTGGAGGACTTGCTTAGCATGGATGCATCTCTGAGTTTATGGCCCAATGCCACATAAACCAGGCATGGTGGTGTGATGCCTCTGTACAAGGTGTTGGTAAGAGGAACAGAAGTTTAAGGTCAGCCTGAGCTACTGAGTGAATGTGAGGCTAGCCCACACTATATAAAACCCTGTCTCCAAACTAAGAAAGGAGGAGAAGGGCGGACAGAGGCAAGGCAGTCACACGTGTGTGGGCATTGAGGTCCTGTCCACGCCTCCTCCCTGGTGTGCTCTGGAACCCCAAATGGAAGCCTTGCAAGGGAGGCTCAGGACATGTGTTTCCAGAGCAGTTCTTCCCTGAACTGATGCTCCTGCGCCGCCCTTGGAGAGCTCCGATGGGAGCCCCCTGGGTGAACATGGGAAGGGTCAGCTAACAACACACTCCTGCCCTCCCTCCCTCCCTCCCTCCCTTCCTCGGTCTCTCAGCCCACGTACCTGCTCATCATGCTTTTGCCCTGGTTACCGGTTACCTAGTTACCAGGCAACTGTCTCCTCCCCTAGGTGAGAAGTATGAGCTGCATGCGGCGACAGACACCACGCCCAGCGTGGTGGTCCACGTGTGCGAGAGTGACCAAGAGGATGAAGAGGAGGAGGAAATGGAGAGGACGAAGAGACCCAAGCCAAAAATCATCCAGACGAGGAGGCCGGAGTACACGCCTATCCACCTCAGCTGAACCGGCTCGCAGACGGAGACGACACGTTCTCAACCCCATTCGTGGGGAGGAATCTTTTACTGTGCAGGAGGCTGGTCACAGCTTTGGAGGTGACGGCCGTGACCACTGTGACAGAAATTCCAGTTCATGTCGCTCAGAAGAGAATCAAGGCTCTGTCTCCTCGTTCTGACACGGCACCTCAGCCCATGTCCGTGGCACCCAGGAACGTGTTGGGCCATTCACTGAGTTGGTCATACTCACACAAGGGTATCTAGGGACATCTTGAGAAAACTGATAATGGTAGTGTCTTGTACTCGCTCTTTTTCCAGGTTCTGTTTTTGCCAAGGACAGGTTGACTGGTGGCCCCGGGGAAAGATTTCTGTTTCCAACCGGTGTTCAGGGTCCAGCCCCCGCTGGTAAGCAGAGGCACCCCACAAAGCCACCAAGTGTCCAGTGCGGAACGGTTACGGGACAACCCCAGTGCCATGTGGAAATCGTCCTTCCCATGTCTCCCCTCGTGTGCTAACGTTCACGCATGTATAGTACTGGGTTCCAAGACTAACCTTTGTCCGTGTGTGAATGCACCGTTGTTTTCCGTCTTGGGAAGCTGGGGCATCTCTGGAGAGCTGTGGTCTTTCCTGGTCCCTGGCCTTCTCTGCGACAGCGTGCACACGTGGGGTCACCCCTGGAGGCGTCCACACGTCACCCTGTCCCGCGCACCGTGTCACTGGTGCTTTCCCGCACAACAAGGTGATCTTGAGTTCCTGTGTAGAATGTAGCGTCTGCAATGGAGAGAACAGTTTTGCTGTCAGGTGCCGGTGGGCGGGAGGTTTTGGGTTAGGTGTTTGGGTTCAGGCGTCAGTCCTATTGTTTCTTTCATGTAGTGTGGTTCGTACGTGACTTTCAGCCGAAAACCTCTTTGGGAGTTGTTTGTTGAGACAGTTGAAACGTGAAGATAAACTTGTAAATAAAGCCAAGAGCATATCTTAATACCCGTTGTGTACCTGGGTGAGAACAGAGGGCAGAAGGGGTCTCGAGCTACCTGTGACATGTGTGTGGTAGAAACTGCCGTCATGTGTTTAGCGGGATGAATTTGGAGCATGTGATGTCGTAGCTGTGTGTTGCTAGAGGGACACAGTGCCTTTCCCCTTTCATCCCAGATGGACCGCGAGACGCGGCCACCATTTGGGACTTTCTCCTTTTCCAGTCACCCATGTGTGTGTCTGGTAAACAGGTGTCCTGTTTTGGACTCGCAATGCCATTACGAAGTCTGTCACTCTGAAATAACCTAATGCCAATTAACAATGCATGCTTTGGGAGTGGGAAGGCGGCTTCCTCTGGGGAGAGCATATGCAGTGAGAACGGGTGGGATGTCCACCAAACCCTGGTCACAGCCCTCAGGGGAGACCATCACATTGCTGTCCCCGTGTTCCCACCCCAGTGCTTCTGAGCCGGAGAGGCCAACCTCAAGGGAATTTTTTTAACAGCATTCTGTAATAAATCAGCGCAGCCTGCTCTCTGGGAAAGTTGTCTGTCGTTTTCTTCCTGGGACTGCTCACAGGCTGCACCTGCGTTTGTCAATGCCCGCTGTCGCCATATCTCAGCAAGCCCAGCACACGTCACTCAGGAAAGGGCCCGACAGACAGAACCGAAAGTAAGATTCTGAGTGTCCCCACCGTGCGGGTGGGCAGACGTGGCGCCCGGCGCTTTCACCGAGCAGTCTCCTCACGCACGGTCATTCCTGGGTGGAGGCGGGAGTTAAACCCGAGACCTCATGCTTGCCAAGCAAACGCTTCCACCACAGCTACACCCCAACTCTAGTGATGCTTGTTAACTAACTTGAGGGGTTCTCTACTCAGAGGGATATCCACAGAAGACAAGCTACTTCTTAAACATTTACTTAGTTTAAATATGCATGTATGGTCAGACCCCGCACTGCATGTGTGGAGTCAGAGGACCCCTGGTGGTAGTCTGCCTTCCCTCCGACCATGTGGGTCCCTGGGAGCCACCCTAAAGGCCAGTCGTGTTCAGAACATCTGAACCTCTGGTCACCTCCTCCCTGGAGAGGGAAAAGCCTCAATAGTTAAGTGTTTATTTTTTGATGTATGGAAATAATCTTGATCGAGATTAACATTAAATATTCCTCCATGGAAACTTCTATGCTATCTTTTTTTTTAAAGCCACATATGTCCAAGATTGAAATGTGTTGAAAGTTCATATTTTAATCCTGGTGCTCGGAGCTAATTCTTGAACAGATTCACTGACCACCTGGAGGTAGGCGAGACAGTTTCCCGGATAGGAATACAGCACGGGGCTCCTCCCTTCACTATTCCAGATGGCTCAGACTGAGCAGTTTTCCAGCCCCAGGTACTAGTTCATACATAGCCCTACAAGAGGGCTGAGATGTTGCCCAGGAACCGACTTGGAGCAGTCCCCCGAACAGCTGTGTGGAAGGGTGGTACCGTCACTGCCAAGGAAGCTACAGTAGAACTCAGGTCACTGAACACCCCCACGGAAGACCTCACTGCCAGGGAAGCTGACCCTACAGTAGAACTCAGGTCGCCGAACACCCCCACGGAAGATCTCACTGCCAGGGAAGCTGACCCTACAGCAGAACTCAGGTTGCCGAACACTCCCACGGAAGACCTCTTTTGCGTAGTTCCATGGTGGACGTGAGCGGTGATCTCAGCTGAAAGTGAAAATGTTACTGACTTAGACCAATAAAGTGAAGGGACAGGTACCGAGGGGGCAGGTCGTGACGTGCTTTGCTGTTGGTAGAAGGTAGCTCTTAAACAGTGTGCCGCGCATTTTGCTGCTGTAACACATTGGACAGTATGAAGAAGGAAGGTGTAGCCATTGCTGGCTGGCTCTGCTGTTCCTGGGCCTGGTAATGCAGACCACGATGTCAGGACATGGTGAGGTTAGAGCAGCCAGGAGAGCTGAGATAAGAGAAGGGACTGGGAGCCGAGTATTAATTCAGAGGCGCGCGCACACCCTGAAACTTCCCATCTGTGACCTTCTCCCTCTGGTCAGCCCTCACCTCCTGAAATTTCCACCACCTCCCAGAATGGTGACACTAACTGACATGATATGGAGAGGACCCGGCCTTCAGCACACGGCATGTAGAATACTCTAAACTGTAGAGATTTCATAGACGTCTTATGGAGCTGATGGTGAGTAAGTTGGGATCATCCCAGGACCAAAGCTTCTTGAAATGAATGCCAAACCAACCCAATAGTGACATGATGAATGGAACGTGGTTTCCTCGATGCTGTTAAGGCTCTAGCTGTAGCCAGTGATCTGCAGTTGGCAAACATGGCGTGTGGGAAAATCTGGGTTTTCAGAGGGTTTTCATTTTTAGGTAAAACATACAAGATTCCCTATGCAGTAAATTGACTTTATCAAATATTAACACACAGAGAATTAAATGCAGCACGTGGACCTGTTGTGGGCATACATACGGCAGAATGTTTGTCTCCATTTAACAAGTGTGCGTTGGTGACATTCATCAAAAGGTTAGCAGTTCAGATGGAAACTACACAAATAATTTACCTCAGAATTACTTAGGAAGAAAGGTCCTCTGGGTTTCAAACACTCTCCCTTCCCTGGCCTCTGGGCTTCTGCCTCTGAAGTAGGACATGAAGGGTTCTCTTTGAAGTCTTGTATAGGCAATCAGTAAGTCACACTGGAAATGCTCTCTGAGCCAGCGGAGTCACATGGCCATTGGGCAGACAGATTTTTCTTCCCTCACGCCTCATTTTCTCCAGGAGGCCTTCCCTGCTGTTCGTGAAAGGTCATTTTCACATGTGTATAAAAGATAAGGAAATTATCTGCAAGTGATTGAGTGGTAGTGCCCACGGTTGCCATTTACTTTTCCTCTGGAGATTCTGACTGGGACCTTGGTCACCGTTCTTCACGGGAAGGGAACACCTCTGGCCAGACGCTGTTGGTTTCCTACCACGCTTTCCTAGATGCACCATTTCTCATGAACTCTTCATTTGGAATGACACCCAGTGCTCCAACCCAGCTAACTGCCATGTTGTCTACCCCGGGAGAACAGTCCTGTGTCTGTCCTGCACCTCTGTGCCCAGTCATGGGCAGTTATCACAGTGCCTGGCCCACAATTCTCTACAAATATTGATGAATAATTAGCCAACTCAATATTGCCCTACAAATCTCCATCATCAGTGCCTCTTCCCAAGAGAATCAATGCTAGCTACTCCTGCTGGGTCTCCTGTTATGCTCATTCTTCCCTGTAGCATGTATCATCTTTCAGGTTAATTTTTGCCATCCTTGTTCCAACAGAAATTGGGTGGAAACTGGATTTTGGGTAGCATGTTTAATGGCTTATAGTAGATATCAACATGATGAATACTACATTGAGTAGAGCAATGGATCAATGAATCAATGGATGGATAAAGCAATTGAAGATGAGCAGGGATGGATGGATGGGTGGATGGGTGGATGGATGGATGGATGGATGGGTGGATGGGTGGGTGGATGGATGGATGGATGGATGGATGGATGGATGGATGGGTGGGTGGATGGATGGATGGATGGATGGATGGATGGATGGATGGATGGATGGGGAAGTGTGTGGTTGGACATAGGATGGATGGATGGATGGATGGATGGATGGATGGATGGGTGAGTGGATGGATGGATGGGAAAGTATGTGGTTGGACATAGACTGGATGGATGGATGGATGGATGGGGAAGTGTGTGGTTGGACAGAGACTGGATGGATGGAAGGAGTGGTTGGGTGTTTGGAATAGGGATGAATGTGTTGGTGGATGGGTGGATGGGTGGATGGATGGATGAGTAGACAGAGAGATAATGGGGTTTTGAAGAATGAAAACTGAGCTGCTGCTGAGAAAGAATGGAAAAACAATGAGGCCTGTTCCTGCCTTTCCAGTCAGCAAGCCCCTAAGCAGCTCATGCCTTTAATCCAGCAAATTTCCAGGCTGCTGATGCAACAGGAAATTAAAGGCGGGGATTAGCAGACACGATTGTGCTGGGTAATTGCCGAGAAGAAGAAAGGCTTGTTCAAAACTGTTTCTTCTAAGAAAGAGATTGGCTGGAGGGGGAATGACTGGGAAGGCCTTGAAAGACCTTTCTTCAGTGATGAGTGTTTGTTTTTGATTGAGCAACCTACTAACAGAGGAGACAACGAGGCAGTCACAGCACAGGTGTGGCATTTGTCAAAAAGCACAAAGATTCATGCAAATAGAGCCGTTTGATAATGCATGCCTAGTAAAGGTGATTTGACTTAAAAATCAGCACCTAGGAGAAAACTCAAATCTTGGACAGTGGACAAAATTTGAAGGAAAGTCTTAATCCCCATCATCTACTCTTAGAGATGGGCCAGAGATGGAAAGCCCTGGGGACATTTGCAAAACATGCTGTCACACAGAAGAGTGGAGCAGGGGCCTGCCTGCCTGCTTTGTGTGTGAGCATTCTAAATACTCTCTCCAGAAGACACGTGTGTGTGTGTGTGTGTGTGTGTGTGTGTGTGGTGTGTGTGTGTGTGAGCATTCTAAATACTCTCTCCAGAAGACACTTGTGTGTGTGTGTGTGTGTGTGTGTGTGTGTGGTGTGTGTGTGTGTGTGTGAGCATTCTAAATACTCTCTCCAGAAGACACTTGTGTGTGTGTGTGTGGTGTGTGTGAGCATTCTAAATACTCTCTCCAGAAGACACTTGTGTGTGTGTGTGTGTGTGTGTGTGTGTGTGTGTGTGTGTGTGTGTTGAGGGAGATCAAACCCAAAGCTTTGTGTATGCTATGGAAGCATGTATCACTGAGCTATACCCCAAGTCACAGCAAAATTCAACTTGGAGGACTAGAGAGCTGGCTCGGTGGTTAAGAGCACTTGGTTGCTCTTGCAGAGGACCGGGATTCCATTCCTAACATGCACACGGTGGCTCTCAGCCTTCTTCTATAACTCCTGTTCTGGGGTACCCAGCACCCTCTTGTGACCTTCATGGGCACCAGGCAAACATGTGGTGCTCATATATGCACATGGTTAAAACACTCATACACATAAAATAGAAATTTAAAAAGTCAACTTGGACCACAGTTACTTCCTTCAATTTGTTTTTTGTGACAGGGTTTCTCTGCGTAGCCCTGGCTGTCCCGGAACTTGCTCTGTAGACCAGGCTGGCCTCGAACTCACAGAGATCCTCCTGCCTCTGCCTCCCGAGTGCCAGGTGTGTGTGCCACCACTGCCCAACGACTTTTTTATGGTTGATTTCCTGTATGCCTGAAACCAGTGTCTTTCTCTTCTTCAAGAACAATGCAATTGTATGTGAACTGTAGAAAGACACATGGGTATGGCAAGATTTGTTGGTTGCTGCCATGGAGCCTGACTCTTCCAGGACAGAAATACTACAGACACACAGGGCATGCAATGACCCTGCAACCCAGGCTGGTCCCGCTATGAAAGCTAGGTAGGGGGTGTGCCGCTGGATTTTTAGAAATCATGAATTACCAAATAAGAAACCTGTTGTTTGCTTCAGGGAAATCCATCC